CACACACACACACACACACACACACACACACACACACACACACACACTTTTGGTTGTACCGGGGATCAATCCCAGGGTCTCCTGGTTGCAAAAACTATGTCCAATACTGAGCTATTCTGTATCCCTTTTATTTTATTTTTATTTTGAGACAAAGTATCATTAAATTGTCTAGACTGCCCTTGCACTCACTTTGTAGTCTAAGCCAACTTAAAACTTGCAATTATCTTGCCTCAGCACCTTGGCCAAGCAGCTGGGAAGGCAGGCCTATACCACCAGCCCTAGTTTTTAATGGTCTAATTGTAAAGAAAGAACAAAAACTGGAACAGTGTAATTTGCCTATTTCATTCCAGTTTCTTGAATCACATAACCTTAGTTAATCCTAAATCAATTTCACTGTGTCTATAATTTCTCAAATTACTTAAACCATTCAAAACTGAAAAATGTGAAACATTCAGAAACTTTAAAAGTTATCTTTTAGCCAACTGGCCACTAACCAAGATACCTTAAATACATTTAAAATAATTTTTTAGTAAAATAACTTAGCCTAAAATGATCTTAGCATGTTTCTTTGTGATTGGTGCACATGTATAAATTAAAATATAGATATCAAAATGGATGACTTAAGTATTAGGTAAGTGTGACCCCTCCTCTTTGAGAGACACAGGGATAACCTGTGCCCTTCTGAATTCTAGCTGTCAGGACGTGCTGTCCACAGGGGCTGCTTACCGTTTTGATGGCGGTGATGAAGGTCAGTGCCTCCTCCCCTACCTCCTTCTGAAGAAGCCCAAATCTTTTCTCATATAGTACAAGGCAGATACCTGTCATTGAAAAAAATCACTACTGTTACTCATCCATAGCTGTGCCAGGATCTATGATTAACTGGCTATTAAAGACTGAATTCCATGTTATATGAGACTGTGGTCTCTTCTAGAAGAAAACAAAATCTCAGAGAGAGAGAGCAGGGAACACTCTCTTCTCTCACTAGATCCATAAGCTTTGGAGCTTCCTCGTGAGAGACACACTGTCCACCACAGTCACAGGGAGGTGAGGACAGAGGAGTCACTGCACTGGGTCAGAGATCTGCACTGCTTTGGCTCAGCCATGCAGTTGGAGTGGTCACCATTTCCTGCTGCCAAAGACAGCACCCAGAAAGCCACCATGAGAAGAGCTGGGAGGCAGGAGCCCTGGACGAGCCCCCAGTACCTGCCAGGCACTGGACTAGCACAGGACAGCTGTTTCTCTGTTCTGTTTTCCATTTAACAATGTTGTTTAGGATCAACCTATTTTCAAATAAGATTCCTTAGTCTTTAAATTTTCTACACAGAGAGAATTTGAATTATATAATAGCCATGTCCCTTTAACTAGATGTAGTAATTGAACAGGCTGCTTTAATTACTTTCTCCTTGAGTGTGCGCCCATTTAGGGGTGTGCATGGGTTGTGGCATCTGAAACAATGTTTACTTCCCAAAATGCTTTGCATCTGTATTGAGGCATTAATCTCCTAAGAATGATGACATTGTCCTACATTGTCTCCTTAGTGCAAAGGAGTCCTCCTCTCACCCAGGCTCACACTTCTGCCCCCTTTTAGTCCTTTAAATGTCCTTATCTGTATTTGCCGCTCAGAACCATAGTTTTGTGAGGGCAAAGATACTATCCGTTTTGTTCCTCAGCGTGTTCCTGGTACCTAACAGTGCCAGGCACATAGTATTTGCTTAATAAATGTTTGTTGAATAACTTTATAAACAACCCGTAGTACAGGTCAGAACTAAAATGGGTTTGTATGCTCTTGTTCTAGTTGGTGATAATCTATCATTATAGAACTGTAAGCAGAGCTGAGCTTTATCCCCTAGATCTCTTGCAATGTTAAGTGAACAGGGCTACAAAGTCAACTTACTTTCAAAGGACCATTTATTCAGTTCGCTGTACAAGTCTTTGATGCGGCCTCCTTCATCACACAGCTCATCCATTCTTCCCATAAAATCAGCCAAGACCTTAAAGAGAAGCACATCTCTTTGTCATGGGAGGGAAGGAGAAGGTCCAAGCTCAGGAAGTTCATCAGAGGGTATCTCTACCGTTGGTTGGCAGTGATTGGCAATAGTTACACATGGGGCCTGCCCTGTGCTATTCCTAGGCTCTTCCTGAAGCTACTGAAACTTAAGTTTCAGGCTTGTCTTAAGAACATTCCTGGAAACTGTTTTGTGTTTATGTGTGTGTGTGTAGGCTTGTGTTTGTCTGGGGGTATGCATGTCTCAATGCGCACATGTGTGGAGGCCAGCTGTTGAGATTAGCTGTCTACTTCAGTTGCTCTCCATCCTATTTTTTTGAGACAGGGTCTGTCACTGAACCTCGAATTCTGAAATTTGGCTAACCTAGCTAGCCAATGAGTTTCCAGCCATCCTTCTGTTTCTACCCCCTCAGTGCTGGGATTTGAACTCAGGTCTCCAATAATTGCAGAGCAAGTACTTTACTGGCTGAGCCATCTCCCCAGCTCTGGTTCTGATACTTTAAGAAGAAAGAAAAAATCCTTTCTGGGAAGACTGGGTGGAAAGACCACGGGGGGGGCAATCAGACAAAATGGCACAGCAGCTCAGGGATTGTTGTGAAGTCTGGGGCAGCACCTCCACTCTCTCCTGGCACATCTGGGCAGAAGCGTGCCCTCCCTCCAGCTGTTTATGAGACGTATGTGCACTTGGGAGCTAGGAAACCTGCAAACTCTGGACGTAGCTCCCTCAGTTGGTAAGCCTGCAACCCTGGGACAGCCACATGAGGTCTCTAGATGCCCAACCCTCTAAAAAGCAGAGTCGGAGATGGCCCAAGTCTCACTGGAACCACACGTAGCACAGAGTGTATCATTCTAGCTGATCTGCACCGCAACCCCATGTGACATTTTCCATGCCGCAGCTGAAGAACAGCTTAGACGTGCTAAGTCACTTGCTCACATACCTGATGACCTGCCAAGCTACTCCTTAGATAAAGTATAAGTGGTCATAAAACTTGACAGGTAACAAACGGGCATGTTTAGCTTGCCTGTGTAATGCATTTTAAAAACACTTTGTATTTGCTAACCCAGTAGAAAAACAGGGCACATGGAGGAGGGGAACAAAAAACAAAAGAAAGAAAAAAAAAAAAAAGCTGAGCATGGGGCTTCACCTTTTACCCAAACCCTGGGGAGGCAGAGGCAGGTGGATCTCTATGAGTTTGAAGGAAGCCTTTCTACATTGTGAACTCTAGGCCAGCAAGCTACGTGGGGAGAACTGTCTCCAAGAAAAAGAAAAACAAAACAAAAAACAAAAACAAACAAACAAACAAACAAAAAAACCAAACAACCCCAAGGGATTTCACACACTGTATGGATTTTCCCACAACCCATCTTATTAATCTTATTCTCGTTATTACCAGAGGTGACCCTGGCTGTGTCACATGACAGTAGCTAGCGGGATCTGGAGCAGCTGTCCACCTAGAAAAGGCTTAACTATGCACTACTTGAGGCTTGCATTACTGTGCTATATTAATTATCTGGCTTCTATGGGTTCTGTAGGAACCCATCTGGGTCCAAGGCTAACTTAAAACAACCTCTAATGTGAACAAGAGTAAAACAAACAAACAAACAAACAAACAAACAAGCTATATGCTTCAGCCTGCCCCATGGCCCCCTGTTGACTAAACGATATTGTTAAAAGTCCTTTAGCAAAGTATGAAGTCATTCTTAAGGACAAAGTTCTGCCCATTGCCCAGACTCTTCAGAATCGTTCATCAGCGTGGAGTATAAAATTTCTGGCCACATCATGCCATTTCATCCTTCTACATCTTCAGAGAGTTTCTGCCTCTGTGCTCCTATTCCAAGTGTAAAGCACCCTCCTCCCCCGTTGTTGCCTCCAAGGGCTTTTACAAGGATCATCTCTAAAAACTAGTGGCTCTAAAAACTTGGAAATGGGCTTAGGGAAGCAAAACAACGCCTCTGGATCTCACCGGTACTTGGTGGAAGGCCATGGAACAGGGGACTCAGCCTGCCTCCGTGGGATTATTTTAGAAGCCTTTGGAGATGAGTTTGGGGGACCGGGTTGGACGGAGAGAAACAGCTACCCCCTCAACCCCTGTGATGGATGATGATTCTTCTCTTTTTGTGCTTTAGAGCTGTGAGCGAAAGCCCCGGGGAGCGTGGGGAAAGCTGGCCCCAGCGCACAAACCTCATTGATTTTCTTGTCCAGCTTCATGACCTCCACCGGCTTCATTAGTTTCTTTTGGAAGGCGCTGCGGACCCTCTGCCACTCTTTTCCTTCCCTGCAGAGGAGGACTGTGTTGACAGCGCCCCTGGAAAGCAGCCGCGCAGCGATTCCAGGAGCGCAAAAACTACCCCAAAGATGGCCTGCCGAGTTCCTAGGAATCTTAGCACTCAATGAATGTTCGCGGCTGTCCAGCTGGGGCCAGAGGTCAGGGGGAGGGGAGATGGACTCACGTCGTCCCTCCGCTCCCTGGAGAGCTGATGGCAGTTAATGGTTGCTGGGGAGGGGATTGTCACTTTTCTTCAGTAGCTAATGAGGCTCTGACAAGTTCCCCCTGCTCTAACCCTCACCCATGCTCATGCAAGCAACCCCAGGGAGACATAAACACGAACAAAAACGACACGTAAATAGGAGCGGGAGTTGTTGGGACGAGGAACACCTTCAGTGGGAATGGGAGGGGGCACGCGGGATGAAAGCGACCACGTCAATGTGAAAATGTTTGCTTTGACAGTATGGTTGAATTTTGCTCAAGATGACACCAGGAAGGTGAAGCCCCAATGAAAGGGCCTTGGTGCTTTTGCTTATATCCTATGGGGGAGGTAGGAGTGTGTGCGTGCCCTCATTGCATGGCTTTTGTGTGGGGGGACCACTCTCTGTACCATCATTCCGGGATTGCACCGGCCCTAAGCAGAACAGGGGCTTCTGTATTCCATCTGCCTAAGAAATGTCCTAGGGAACTTTTAACTACTCCCCTCCCCTGCTGCCCAGCGCGCCCAGCCTCCTGCCGCCTCCACCCTGCAGAGGGGTCTCACAGGATCAGCAACCCGTAGCTCTCGTTGCGGTAGTCGCGGTAGGCTTTCCAGGGCTTGATGTCCAGTCGCTGGGGATGCGCGCTCTCGGTGCGGTACAGAGCTTCCAGCAGTCTCGGCGAGCCCAGGTGCACCGAGTCGAACGAGCCCAGCTTCATCCGGAAAATCTCACCGTAGTTCTTGTGGTACTCGGCCTGCGGCGGGGAGGGCAGAACGCCGTCAGCGGCGCATCCTCTGGTGCCTAGGGCGCTTCTGCCTTGCACAGCTGCCGGGTCACCTGAGCTCTCTTCCCCCTTCTCCCCCCCTCCCCGCCCCCGTCACCCCAACGGGGAGGAATAGGGAACAGGAGAACGACAAACTTATTTACCAGAGTGTCATGCTGTTTCTTCAGGCCCCCTTTCCAAAAAATCTCCAGTAAACTGCCTAGCAGTGGCCAGTTGGTGGGTCCAGGCAGGGAGGTGGCGTCCCGAGTCTTAGCACCTGTCACCAGCGGGCAGAGGGGCACCTCTTTTGGCTCGCGGGGAGCGCTCGCCTTGGATGTGGCGGACGTGGGGGGCTGTCCGAGGTCGCGCAGCCGGCGCAGGAAAGCCACCAGGGAGCGCCTTTTATCAGTGGGGCAGCTCATAGTAGCAGGCCGCATGTGGGCTCGAAGAGGGGCAGGGGCTGGAAAGGGTAAGGTGTTTCGGAAGTGCTACTGCGTTCTGGAGTCTTGGCAATTTGGGAAGAGAGGCAAACAGAACCTGCGGGTGTGGCGAAACTTCAGGAGGGACTTCGAAGAGGCGGGCGTCCAGGGATGCTGCTGCTGCAAGGTGCAGCGGCTTAGGCGCAGGCGCCTGTCCCGAGCTGGCCACCAAAGGGCCTGGAGACGAGCGGGCCGGGGCTTGGTGGCTCCTGGGAGAGTCTTCTGTGGGTCTGCAAATTTGACTTCTAAGGTCTGGAGTCACTGGGTGTCAAGGGATGCCGTCGGGTCTGATGTACCTCGCTGTGCTTTCCCCAAGCTCCCAGGCTCAGGGACCTCGTATTTATGAAGACAGAACGTGCCCGGGATGGCCAATGAACTCGCTGACTGGGGCGGAGGGGGACCTGCTGGCGAGGCTGAGAGGGACGTGGAAGAGGGGGGGGGAGAGTGTGGGAAGAGGATGGAGTCAGCGAGGTGAGTGAGGGCGCGGGGCCTCGGTGACCGATGCGCTGCTCTCCTGGCGGGCGCACGGGTGGACTCCACCCCGGAGATAACCCAGGAAAGGCGCGTTGAGCCTAGGGTTCAGCGGGTGCGCTGTGAGCACGCCACCCCGCCCTCCTCCTGCAGGCTGCAGCCGGCCTTGCAACAGCCCGAAGCTGTGCTTGCACAATCGCCATGCAGGGCGGGCAAGGTCCCCCGAGGACAGCGCGGAAGGCTGCCCGCGCTTGCCAAGGGAGGGGAGAGCATCCGTGCCTTCCAACATCCTGGGAGACAGGTTTTCGCAGCCTGAGCCGTACTTCTTCTGGATAGAAGTTGCCCCTTTGAGCCTCTGAAGAAGGTGACTTGAAACTTAATAGGATGCACCGAAAGAAGGGCCGCAACTCTTCGTCTTAAGTTATGCAAGAAAGCCCAAAGCTGTTTGCAGAATTTCCTCACCGGATTTCTAGATGGGTTGGGTTGCTAGGAAACTGAATAAATCAGTGGATGCAGAGAGTCTACATAGGTGTGCGTCCGCGGTGGATAATCAATAGAAGATGCTAGTGGAGTTAGTTCTGGAGACAATGCTCTTGGAGGGCTTGGCTTAGTTTTCCTTCGGACTGCTTCCCACATGTCCCCTCAAGCCTTCCCTTCTTGCTCACCGCCCACCCGGCCAGAGCAGAGGCACCCACAGATTCCCAAGCGGCCCATTGCCTACATGAAGTCCACCTAAAGCGCGCAGTTATCCACAGAGGTGGTCCTGCTTTTGTAGCTGGCTAGAATAATGCTCATTTTTCTAATTCTGGAAAGGAAATTGGTCTTTGCTGATTCAAAGTGACTCATATTGCTTCCTGCTTATCCAACGCAAAGGCACCAGCACCCAGGAGGGAGGCAGATTTCCTCTCCTGCTTTCCAGTCACCTGACCTAAGGTTACCGTGACCCACGCACTAGCAAAGTCTTCCGTAAACATCTGTCTGCTTCTGGTAAAGGTTTTACAATCCAATTTGTGATTTGTGCTCCAACACTGTTATTTCAAATGTGTCCTAAGAGTTCTGTCTTAATAAAAAACAGCTACACCACCTATGCAATAATTTAGATGCAATCTGCTAGATCTATTTCAATATGTATCGCAGTGTAGGTACAGCACAAAATATAAATTTATATAGTCTTTGTGTGAAATATACATCTTAGAGAGCCTGTGACAAGGCAGGAATTTCACATCAATATTTCTGTTTAAATTTCACTTTAGCTCAATGTCAAAAATAAAACTCAACCCGTCCCCCTCCCCCCATGCTTAGGAATTAAACATGCTGCTGATTGTCACAGACATTAGTGGTCCCCATGGCATTCACAGGCCACAGTTTCTGGCCTAGCCTGACCCTTCAGCATAGACATTCATATACGTAACTCCTTCCTTTGCTTTCTTGAGACAGAATCTCACAGCCCAGGCTGGCTCAAACCCCTCAGCCTCCTGTTTTCACCCCTAGAATGCTGGGATGAGAGGTTTATTCCACCACACCTCACATCACTTAGCTAATTACATCCCTTTTTCTTAGGTAGTGTGCTACTTTTTTCCTTTTCATTAACTAATTTATTTTTAAGGCAGATTTCAGATGAAGTAGGTTTTTCTGGGGGTTCAGTGTTGAACTTTTTGTTTGTTTTTGGGGGCAGAGTCTCACTATGTAACCCTGGCTTTCTGGTAGCTTGCTATGTTGACCAGGCTGGTCTTGAACTTACCTCCTGCCTGCCTCTGCCTCTTGAGTGCTAGAGGAGACTCATGGGAGAGTACCAGACTACTTCAGGTATTCCAAACAGATACTTAGAAGCACAGGAGATCATTAGTTACTGTATACAGGTAGGAGTAAATAAGCAAATTTCTATTTCATGGAAGTCCGTGTGTACTGGAGAGGGTCCCCAGTCATTGTTACACTGACCGGCAGTGGGAAGCACGAAGTTCTTGGGACACCCACTGAGTAGAAGACTCATCAGTCCTTGAAGAGGTTCGGAGCATCAAAATGGTTATGTTGAGCACACCCTTCCTCCCTTGGCTTCGTGCCTCCCTCATTCCGGAGCCTCTGTGAGTCATGCAGCCAGGGATCCTCTCAGGAACCCTTAATGAAAGATCTAGGAGTGGCAGCTAAGTGCCAACCCCATTCCCAAGACTGGCCTCGTTCACCTCTACTGTTCCGGGAGATCCTAACCAAGGTCCGCAAAGTTTAATTAGACCCTAGCCTTTCTACTATACAATAGTGCATGTGTGTGTGTGTTGGGGCAAAGGCTTGATCCTCCATACTAGGAAATACAAAGCCTTTTCAAATACATGGATTGGCAATAAAGCTTTGAGCTTCAAACTTTGGCTGACCTCGGGCGAGAGCTACTTTTTGATTGTGGAGACTCGGAGGGCTGATTTTTCATTTCTTGAGCAGAGAGCATTGGAACCAACCTCACAGCCACAATCCAACATCTCAGAAATGGAGAATATAGGAGTGTACCAACACAGGCTCCCGTGAGGGCCCTGAGGAAAGTCCTTACCAAATCTGAGGTGTGTGGGAATTTACCCTTCGGTGCGCGTGCATTGCACGCATGCCTGGTTCTTTGAGGCTACGCAGAAGGCAGGTGCTCCAATCATGATTTATGTGCTCAACTGATTAGTTGCATTTTTTGTATTTGTGGTGCTGGAGACTGGCTGCTGGGCCTTGAGCACCAGAGAGCACTCTGTGGCTGGATCTCTACATTCGTCACAGTTTTGAGACAGGGTCTCACCCAGTGGCTTAGGCTCGGCTCGGCTCAACCTTCCAAGCAGCTGAAGTCACGTTGTTTTGATTCAGTAAACCACACAGCAAATTAAGCTGAAGTAAAGGGGTGAAGAAGTCCGAGTGAGTGTCCATCTAAGCTCAGCCGGCTTATTCCACAGGGACTTTCTGACTGCCACAGGAGCAGGCCCTGTGGCAGGAAACTGACTGCCCATGGTAGTCATAGCTATAGAAAATGGGCTCTTGAGTCTTCATTTAGGATAAATCTTAAATCTCCCTGAAATGGCAGGCTACTGTCTTTTTGCTGATTGTCCCTCGCATAACACATGACACAATGTTGTTTATGTTGAACGGCACCCAATAAGTAAATAATAGGCAATTGATTATTGATTCTTTCCTCATTCCCCAGTGAAACCCAGAGAGTGTAGCAACAAAACGGCTTTTGTTTTCTGAGGAAGTTATTGGTAAGCTCTGGCGATGCTCACCTGGGTGCCTCACAGAAAGCAGTCTTACACAACAAAAATAAGGATCTGGGCCTGGTCAGGTTTTGTTGAAATCCTGACTCCATTCCTCACTGGCTGTGTGGGCTTGTGAAGGTGTTTGGCTTCTCTGAGCCCAGTTTCCTCACTGCCAACATTGGAGGTCACTACACCCTCCTACCCAGGTAGGCCGAGACAATGTGAAAAGGTTCTTGCATTTTGTTTGTTTGCTTAGTTTTGGTTTGTGAGACAGGGTGTCATGTAGCCCAGGCTGGCCTTGATCTCACTATGCAATTGAGAGTGATTTAAAAACCCTGTCTCATCTTTGAATTGATCTTCCAGCCTCCACCCATGGCTTTTATTGCATTTTTGTGTTTTCCTTTGTTTGTTTTTGACATTCCATTGGTCCCACATACTTTTCGTGAATAGAATTTGAGATTAGATCATCACACGGATACCTGTTCTGTGCCTTTTCCTGTATGGTCTGACGTGGCTAATGTCATTCCTGTGAATTCAGGGAAATCGGATGGGATTTTTACAGTCAGATACTTTGCATCGGAAGCACAGTTTGGTTTGCTCCTCTATGTCAGGAGCCTGCCTTGACGCATCTGATGGGCTGTTGACTTAGACGGACATTACTGAGAACTGACTGTACAGAAGCTTTGGGCAGTAGCAATTCCTAAGTGTTCTTATAACAGACACTTTTGGTATCAGCTTTTCCACCCAAGAACAGCAGCTATGAGGTCCCTTCTGTTCTGATCCTTCTGCAGTGTTAGTCAGTGAGACAGGGCTAGCTCCGGCTTCAAGGCTAATTGGAATCCTATGTGTTTACACACCACTATCTACAGATCCCTGCACTGTGGTGTCATTTCCCATCGGAAAAAAATAAGTTAACATGCATCTCCAGAAATCTCCTGATTGGTTTTCGTTCTCTCCAGTCAGAATGGAATTCCTTGGGGGAGTCATCAGTAAACTCACTGGATGAGTGCCCGTTGCATGCTGGGCGCCCTCCCCAGCACAGGGTGTCAGAGATGAGCAAGGCAAGGAAGGCCTGCTCAGTTAGAGCGGACTCTCTGCTGATGACATCGAATCACATGTACTGGAAACAGGAAAGAGTCAACCTCCATCCTCCTGACTTCTGCAAAGTGGGTTGTTCTGAGGCGCTGCAGGGTGCAGCAACAGAAAACAGCACTCTCTCATTATTCATCGCTCTCTCGGGTTCTGCTGGACCAGCTA